TTCCCTGATTACAAGTGATGTTGCACATTTTTTCATATGCCTGTTGGCCATTTGTATTTCCTCTTTGGAGAAGTTTCTTTTTAGCTCTTCTGCCCATTTTTTGACTGGATTATTTACTTTGTTTTTGTTGAGTCTAATCTGCTCTGTAGATTTTTGTGATCAGTCCTTTATCATTAGTGTTGACCACACACAATTTTAAGCCACTCATATCTTTATATCCAACTACTCAGTTGAATTCAGGACTAGTATACTCAATCACCAACTGGACAACTCCTTTCTGATGTCATTCTGGTACCTTAGAGTCAAAATTTCTAGATCTAGTATTTGTGTCTTTCCCATACTGTGATTTTTAAATACACTCCTTATTAAAGTCAGTAATCATTTAAGCCAGAAGTCTCAACTTACTTTTCCCCTTGCATCATGTCTACAAGTAACAGAGACTTTGAGTAGAAATGACTTAAACATGATCATTTATTTTGTCTTATTGGTGTCCTCAGTGACTCAGAGTCTTGTAGTTCATTCTCTTTATTTTCTAAAATGGAGACATCAAAAGAGCAGATAGACATCCAATAACCATGTCTGTAATTCTGGCAACAGTTAAAAGGAAGATTTTTTTTTTTTAAGAAGAGATAATTTGTTTTAAAGGAGCACACTATCCATATTGGAAGTAGGAATTGTTTCCTAATGCTTCTGCACAATATACTTTATTTTTCATCCCATTACCCTGAAGTTAGTTACATGGTTTCCATAACTACCAAGACTAGGAAATTATGTCTTTATCTAGATGGTCTTGTTCTCATCCAAAAATCAATAAGGAAGAAAAGAACAATATAATATATATTTTAATTTTAGTTTTATTGAAGCATATTTGGCATATAAAATATGTGATATTTAAGTAATGCATCATTTTGATTTGATATATGTATACATTGTCAAAGGATATCTCCATCTAGTTTAATTAACACATCCTTTATCTCACATATTTGTCTTTTTGGTGATTTAATGAGAGGTCTCTTATATATTTTATCATATAAATTATAATTTTAACAATGTCATATCATTTTCCTCTTATCCATTCCTACTGTTCCATTTCCACTGCTGTGACATCATTCCAAAATAGCTAATAAACGTGTTCTTCACGACTATGCATTGGAGCAAAGAAAGTTTGTTCAATAAATGGTGCTGGGAAAACTGGGTCGCTACATGCAAAAGAATGAAGCTTGACCACTACCTCACACCATACACAAAAATCAACTCAAAATGGATTAAAGAACTAGACATAAGACCTGAAACCATAAAATACATAGAAGGAAATATAGGCGAAACACTACGGGATTTGCACATCAAAGACATCTTTACAGACACATCACCCAAAGCAGTGATAGTGAAGAGAAAGATAAACAGCTGGGACTACATCAAATTAAAGAGCTTCTGCACAGCAAAAGAGACAATAACAAAAACAAAGAGAAACCCCACCAACTGGGAGAACATTTTTGCACACAACACTAATGATAAAGGACTGATCACAAAAATCTGCAAAAAGCTGATGAGACTCAGCAACAACAAAGAAAATAATCCAGTCAAAAAATGGGCAGAAGAGCTAAAAAGAAACTTCTCTGAAGAGGAAATGCAAATGGCCAACAGACATATGAAAAAATGTTCAACATCACTTGTAATCAGGGAAATGCAAATCAAAACTACCATGAGATACCATCTCACACCAGTGAGAATGGCACATATTAAAAAAACTAGCAACAACAAATGTTGGCGAGGATGTGGAGAAAAAGGAACTCTTGTGCACTGTTGGTGGGAGTGCAAACTGGTCCAACCACTATGGAGAGCTGTGTGGAGATTTCTGGACCTACTAAACATAGAGCTTCCATATGATCCAGCAATTCCACTCCTAGGTATTTACCCAAAGGACACAGAAACATCAATTCCAAAGAGCACCTGCACTCCTATGTTTATAGCAGCACTGTTTACAATAGCTAAGCTTTGGAAACAACCCAAATGCCCAAAAATAGATGACTGGATCAAGAAGATGTGGTACATATATACCATGGAATATTACTCAGCATTCAAAAAAGATAAACACATGCAATTTGCAGCAACATGGATGGCACTGGAAAGGATCATGCTCAGCGAAATAAGCCAAAAAGAAAAAGAAAAATACCGGATGGTCTCACTCATAGCAGGAATCTAGAAAACTTAAATAAGGGACCAGGAAAATGAATACAAGAAAGTGAAAATCAAAATCAACAAAAAACTATGAACCAGAGACACTTTTTGGGGTGGGGGGCGGGAGGGGAAGGATTGGGGTCAGAATGGGGCGTTTGCAATTGTATGGGGGAATATAAAAATAAAATTTAATATTTAAAAAAAAAAAAAAAAAAAAACGTGTTCTTCACATTACCAATAAAGTCAACTTTCTTTAACACATTCCTAATGATTTGACATCTTAGCTCAAAATCTTTCCTTCACTGCTCCATATTACAACATCTGCATTTCGGGTTAGAAAGAGCAAGATTGTATGCTGTAATGAAAATAATCTAATTACATAAATTTAACTCCCAATGATTTTTGTACTTATCTTCTTGTCACATCAAATTAGTTGCAATCTATTGAGGTTAATGTTCATTTATTTCTGTTTCTAGATTTGTACATGCTGGATTTTTTTCTTACATGAAATATTTTCCTTATCAATCTGACGAATGTCTATACATCCTTCAAGTTCCAGTTTAGATATTACATTCCTAATGTTTGGGGTTTTTTAAATTTATTTTTTAAAGATTTGTTTATTTATGCATACAAGAGTTGGGGTACAGGCCAGAGATGCAGGGGGTGAGAGGATTCACCAGAGACAGAGTGGGGAACAGAACAGGCAGACTGACTGAAGTACACTGCTGAGGGGAGCAGTGGGTGAGACAGGAGAGGTCTGCTGTGCCATCTGGGTTGCTCCCTGGCCAGCCGGGGATTGAATTTATGCTGCAGAGGCTGTGGTTAGTTTCATAATGCGGTCCTTAACCCCTTGCGACACCAGGGAGGACCTAATGTTTGTTTTTTAAAGCAGGATGAGTTGCCCACTTTCATCTTCATACTCCCATAAAGCATTATTATCTTATATACATCGTCCAATCTAGGGTAGGACATAATCTGTTGTTTTACAGACAAAATGTTAAATGTCTTTTCTCTTAGAAAATGAATGTCATAGTATGTTGCTGGATTTATGGGCCAATACAGATACAATATAGTACATTTTCAACAAAAGTTTGTCAAATTGTTAGATATATAAATATATGCTGGAATATAAAGACCATAACTACTCATATCAATCAATGTCTCAAACAGTAAAAATACTAAAAACATATAGACTGTTTATTCAAATCTGTACTTGAAGGAGAAGGATCTGAGTTAATTATCTTTTATTTACTAATTTCCTTTTGTTGATGTTAAACAAGATTTTTATTTGTTAAGTGAAGACAATCCTGATGAGACTTAAGGAATTCCATTTCCTAGAAATAAAAGCATTCCTAGCATAGAAGAGAACAATATGTACAGGCCAGTGAACTCTTCCAGGAGCACTGTGTAGGTTTCCAGTACAGTCCTCCCCTACCTGCCATCTGTTGAGCTGAAGAAGGCTCTTTAGAACTGACCCTCTAATTTAATATGATCTGGGGCATAGGTTAAAAAATTATAACAGCTCAATATATACTTCGAAACTTCGTCATTCACAATATGTCTTTGATGATTGTATATCTGGCATTTCTTCAGTTTACAAGACTTCAAAGAAAGTAGATTGAATAGTGTCTCTCAGTTTAATCATTTTGTCCCAGAACCTCAGTTAAGGCACCAAATTTCCTTCATATTATGGTGATGAACAAGAAAGTTATTTATTCCACAGACATCACAGAGCTAATCAGGAGATTCTCTTAGTCTGAATTCCATATTCTATATTCAGTTTTTCCTTATCCATTGTGTCTCTAAGGTAGAATTGCCAGAAACTCAACTTGACATCATAGCATTTCTTACTCCCAGCATGCTCTTTTATTTTGGCATTCATCACAAAGCTTCATCGCTGTTCACAGGTACATCGGGCCAATGAACATCACCTGGCCATAAACAAAGAAAAAGTGATCCATCGATCCCTTAAGAACAATTTGTATTTAATCTTGACATTGAAGTTCCCCTGAAATAAAGTCTTATTGTTTAACAATTAGTAAAAGAAGTTATCAAACGGTATGTGTGTGTGATAGTATAAGCTGAAATCAGTCCTTATATAATGATTTAAATTTCAGAAAAAATTACTTTCCATCTGAGTTGTTAATAAGATCTAAGAATAGATTTGAACTAAAATGACTAAAAATGACAAATGCCACAATGTGGAATTCATCTTTGCATTTTTGAAGGTCAAGGCAAATTTTAATGCAGCACAATATATTTCTCTAACAAGCAGATTTTAGCATGGTAAAATTGAAAGGACTGTTACAATGGTCAAATCAGAGTTTAAATTATTATGCAATGGAACTGTCATTAAAAATGTCAAGGAGAAAACTCATTTTTCCTAGGGTATGTCACAGACTATTCTGTTTCTTCCCTGTGATTTTTCTTTTCCTTTTTAAAAGTGTATCCAAAATTATAGACAACCATATAATCTACAACATTGTGATTTTGTTTGTTTTTTTGTTGGTACTCTGTTTGGGCCCAATTCTTTTGTAAGATTCAATCAAAACAAATTACTCAAAAAAATGATACAAATTAAAACGGCCAATTACTAAAATTATTATTAGAAACAGTGGCACTAAATAGCTATCAAATTGTTATCAATACTGATTCTTGAATGCTAGAGACTGGCAGCAAGCAATTCAGGGCCCAGCACTGCACCACAAACCAACTTTGAACAATGCTGGTTTATATAATCACAAGTGCAGAACACAGCTTCTCTGGACATACACATTCTGAGTTAATCTTCTATGTTCTATCATATTCAAAGTTGGCTTAAGTCTATAGAGCAGATCACCAAGGTTATAAATGGATTTTTTTCACTGACCTCACCATACTACTCCAGATGACCAAATATGGGTCATTGGTATTTTTGTCACTGATATTGGTTGGTCTGGCCCATGGGAGGTAAATGTATTTTTTAAATTACAGGTATTTAATGAAATTTTAAAAGCAATAAGGAATATCTTACAATACATACCAAGATTTTCTTTAACAGGGCTGATCTAATTTATTCCTTGTTCAAATGCTATATTACATTTTAAATTAAGAGGCATCTTATTCCTGCAGGTAGAATTTTAGGATCAATTATAGCTACCTTGTATTTTAGAAGGTACTTCAGTATGATTATATTAATTTAAACATAAAAATCTGGCTACTTATGCAGGAGTTGAAGTATGAAAGAGCTTCTCAATAGGCTCCTTATTTTAAGCCTTACCAACCAAATTACAGTGTAATTGCTTTTATTTGATCTTTTCCTATCGAAAAACTGCCTTGAGGGTGCATGTTTCACTCCATTTAATTTGATCAAAGAAAGAGAAGTCCAGGAGTTTTTCAAAGAACTTCCAGATTCAAAGTGGTAAAGAATATCCTATGTATTTTTACTACTCCATATGGACAAGTAATTTACACTGATTTTTAGAAAAGAATGGAAGGAAAGAAAACAAAGAATAAAAAAGGATGCATTTAGTGTTTAGCTTTGCAGTAAGTGTACTTAACTTCATATTGTGAAGACAACACATGGTATTTGAAGAATACTGTTATATTTATCGTGATTCTATTATCAATCACATGAAATCTTTACCTTTAGCTTTAGTCTGTTTAAATGTTACTTTGTACTTAATCCTATGATGATAATAATTATAAAATAGTATTATTGTCAAAATATAAGTTATGTACCAAAACCTGACTTTACTAATTTACTTAAAACAAAATTTACTCCGTATGAAAACTAATATTGATACATTTAGCACTATCCAGGAATCAAGTTTAGAGAATGCATATGATTATCTTTGTTGATTAATTATTCTAAATATCTCATCTATAGTTTGTCTTTACATTTAATTCTTGAGTAGTATTTTAAGTGTTTAATACTGCAGAGTAGTTTGTGTGCTAAATTTTTTTTCTGCAATGAATTTGGCAGTTATTGTATTTTATTTTAGTATTTTATTTTATTTTTGGCAAATAAAAAACAAATGAAAAATGAGGATGATTGTTTATACATAATCAGGTTGAATAAGAGAAGAGTAGGATAATTTTCATAATCCTCACTAGCTGTAAGTAGACACACCTGCACATCTCAACTGATAGTTTGCAATGCCCTGGGATTTTCTCAAGGATCTGATTTTACTCATTTAATGAACTGTATGTTAATTGTTCAGCCATTTCTAGTGACTTACTAGGGTAAGTCACTAAGTGACTCAGAATTTATAATGAACTTCTCAGAACCAGAGAGCAGCTATATTTTAACTGAAAATCGTGACCACCACTTATTTTCAAGCAAAGAAAGGGGGAGGGCACTAGTTCAATCCCAGAGACATTTATTAAGTGTTTATATATTGGAGAGTATTAACTCTAGCCTAGATTGTTGTAATTTTGTAAGACAAGAGGAAATCGAATATAATGGACTATCTGCTTGACCTTTGTCCTTCAGGCAAATCTTGTTCAGTGTAAAAACTTGTCATTGAAGCTGTCATAAGGTGTCCATTTCTTACGTTAGTAAGGAATGTGTGTTAATCCAGCAAGAATACGTTACAGAGATACCAGCATCTCTCTAATGCTATTGAGGTAGATAGAGACTCAGGGACTATCTTCAACTTGAGATCATATTAGAAGAGGTTTAGACTCATTTAATTTTGTTTGTCTTATTTTTATGCTCAGTAATGCTCCCTTGTTTATATTTTTAAATAAATTTCATTTTTCATCTTTTTTTTAAATGTTTTTCTTTATAATTGGGGAACAACACTTCTTTACACCCTGAATATGATCCAGAGGGTATAGGATCACATCCCTACAGATGTATGTTGCCACTACACACCCACCACCAAGACACCTAAAGTCTTCCTCCGTAGTCCAGTGGACTCATTCCCCTCTCATCTTTGTTCTACACCTTCTCTTGCCCACTCCGGTGGCACCAATTTTACAGTCAGAATTCTAGGGTTTGTTTTTCATTTGTTGTTGTCTCTTTCTTTGTTTAATGTTAGCCTGAATTTAGGAAAAAATTTATCCCAAAGAAAATTAAACTTTAAAATGTCACTATCACTGCAGTTCAATTTTGAGGTTGCTTTTACTTAGTTCTGTTCAATAAGATAGAAAGGCACTCATAATGAACTTGAGAGTCCATTTTCTTTCTTTTAGCAGAAAATGTTAGCATCAATTTTGAATGGACTGCATTAGAGCTTTAATTTTTGCACTACTGTTTCAAATTAGAGAGAATTTCTAAAAATAAACACTTATTTAGGGAAAAACATTCGTTGGATGTGTTCTCAAAATCTCTTGTATTTTGTCAGGAAAACTTAACTCATTGCATCAAATGAGGAAAAGTAAATGTGCTTCCCAGAGAGAAAACATTGTTTATACATGGAATTTTAGGTATGACAACAGGGTTGCCAGGAATACTTGAAGCAATCATCAAAATACAAGGTATGTATTTCATGCCAGGGACTACTTGAAACGCTCCATCTTCCCTGTCATCACCCAAAGTTTCATAACTTCTTATGGCATTACAGGCTTGGCAATATGCTCATTTCCCTCCATTCCAAGTTAGTTTCCTTATTGTATATCACCAAATAATATATGACAGGAATGTGGATTTCTATGCAGAAAATAGTATCCGTTATTATATAAGTAGTGGGTAAAAATTTAGATAAAGCCAATGTTCAGACATGGTAGGACAGATACATATATATATTGCAATTTTGTGAGTTATACCTTTTTTTTCCCACATAGACTCTTTTTTGGGAACCTCCATAATTTCTAAATCTTTGTACTCTGTTCTTCTAAATAATTTTTTCTTCTTGTTAACTTCCACTTCCCTCTTTATAGCATGCTTGTGTTCATTCAAAGGTCCTTAATGAACAGGAACTGGCCAAATTCTCTTTAGAAATTGAGATCTCACTCTCAAGTACATATTTGTTTTATTCATCAATATATTAAAATTTAGACAAAGATATCTCTTTAGATTATAAAGCACAACATCCAATATTTAAAATAGAACAATATACCCTGGTAATTTTGTGAAACTTCTTATAAAATCATATCAGATGATATTCCAAGTTGTCTCATTGTACTTAAGATCACTAAAATTGACTATAAAACCTCAGCAATAAATAATATTAAAAATGCAATAAAATGCCACTGTAGCCATATTATGTTTCAAAATAGTAACTGAAATAATAGTCATGACAATACAGGAATTAAGGGAATGTACACAGTTTCTAAATGTTATTAAAATATCTAAAATCATTCATTGCCCTTAAAAAATAACATAACCCATTCACTCTTCTAGGACCTGAAGCATTAGGGAAAACCTGGTAGGAACTTCAATTTACTGGATTAAGCTATTGGTTCCCTGTGTCTGGGGTGGAGAGATGTGCAGTGATGGCTACAATTTCCCCAGGCAGTGTAGGTTTTCCATTAGAATTAGCAAGTTCCTGCAGCTTTGGCAATGCCATGAGAGCAGCTCCCTTATGTTTGAATCAAAGAGAAGAACAGGCACACACACACACACACACACACACAAAAAAAAAAAAAAAAAAAAAAAAAAAAACCTGAACAAGGAAATAGATCCAGAAAACTAAGAACACAATGATAAAATCAAACCTCTATCTACCAATAACAATTGTAAATGCAAATGGACTGAACTCACCAATCAAAAGGAACAGAGTGGCTGGTTGATCAGAAAACAAAATCCAACTTCCTGTTGTCTCCAGGAAATGACCTAAGCTCTATGGATGAACAGATATTTGGCTTGTTCCAATGTTTCCAGAATCAAACAGAAGAGTTTGGTCTTCTAATACAGAGAGATCAGGGGCAAAAAATGTTCTAAAGTGTATTTATAAACTGTTATAAACAACAACAAAATTTGAAACATAGTATATAGCACCAATAAAAAGGACAAAAATCATATGATCATCTAATAAATGTAGAGAAATTATTTGACAAGATTCCATGTCCTTTTATGATAAGGATCTTTATTCAACTGGAGCAGAAGAAACATACTTCAATGTAATTGAGGCCATATATTATCCACAGCTAATATCATACTCAATGATATAAAACTGAAAACTTTAACATTTTTAGAGACACATTTGCTTATGGGCTATTATCAGATACATGAATAAATATATATTTAGCAAAACAGTTTTGTGGAGAATCTTAGTTATGGTTATGACAGGTACTAGTGAATATGATTTTGAAGGAAAGAATATAGTGATTTTTAATGTTCAGAAATGGTACATTTATGATTTTTTTTCCATCAGAATCCTTTGAAACTGAGCAAACAGTGAGTTTATGCAGATTTAGCTGTGAGCAGTATATGAAATTGCTAATGTCACTGAATTCATGAGAGAAACCATCTCCCCATCTTAATTTATACAGAGACTTATCTCTGAGATATAAAAGATGATAGGAGCCAAGAGATAAAACTCTGAATACCCAATAATACAGAGTAGAGAAACAAACAACAAAGATTAAGCACAGACCTCAAATATCATATTTCACTTATAAAAAATCCAAAAAATTGTGTTTACTTTGCAACATAGGGTAGCAGGGATTCTAAAAGCCTTTGTCAGATGAATAACTTTTATTATGCTACCTATATTTGTTCTCTTTGGTATTTGAATAAGATGGGGAATAGTTGTCCGTCTCTATAACATGTGAAAATCACAATAATAACCTTGTGGCTTTATGTAGCTGTTTGACTACTTTCAATATATCCCCATGTCCCAAAGATTTTGAAGCATACAGTCATTCACAACTGTCACAACATGGACATCATCATAATAACCAGGAAACTTTTTTTTTAATGGGTGAAATTTAGCGAAGGTTTTTTTGGTTTTGTTTTTCTTTTTTTATTAAATTTTTTTCTTATATCGTTGTACTCCCCATAGTTCTCCCACAACTATTTTCACCCCTGAACCATCAGCATATTCCCTTGTGTCCATCCCTCCCCTATATTGGCCCATTTTGCTTCAGTTCTATGGTTGGCTTGCTAGTTTTGACATTTTCTTGACCTGCTGTTTTAACCAGGAACTTTTTTTTTACTTTTTAAAAAGATTTATTTTGTTTTTTTATGAATGAAAAAACTGAGGTGCAGGCCAAAGGTGCGGGGTAGGAGGTGAAAGAATTCACAGAGCAGAGAGCAGAACAAGCAGATCTACTAAAATACACTCTAAGGAGAGCAGCAGGGGAGACCAGAGAGGTCTGCTGCACCATGAGGGTTACCTCAGCACTATAGCATAATAGTGCTGAGAGTTAGCCCCTACACTACCAGGGAGGCCCCGGTAACCAGGAACATTTTTTAAATTATAAATTCACAACTTTTAGGGTCTGATGCAATAGAAATAATATTAAGAATCTCTATTTTTTCCTCAAATAATTCTTGGAAAATGTGTTCACATTATCTTCCAGTTTGCTATTAAATCTGTTTCTATGGGATGTATAAGCTTGACTATTAAGATTGTCTTGGTTGTAAACACAGGAGAGTTCTCAGTCCTAGCGTAGTTTTTCACTAAACCATGAACTCCTAGAAAGCATGTCTCCTTCATCCTTTTCACCAGTGTCTAGGATTTTGTCCAGTATTCAGTAAATATTAATTTGATAACTCTAGTATACCAACAAATCAACATAACTTCTTATATTAAGTGACATGTTATCTCTTTCCATAGTCCCAAATTAAGGGACATACAACACTAAAACACTTTGTGTAACAAAAATTAAATTTTGTTTAACTAGTTTGTTAAATATCAGTTATTTCAAAGATAAGACAAAAGCATATAGATACATGAAATTCTAAGTATCCTTTGCCTATATCTTGTCACATCCTCCATCAGCCAATCATCTGTCTTTTCAAATGGTGTTTCTTTTTTCCTTCCTATGTTAAAGATATGAGTTGAACTTCTTTTGGCATTTAAATGATGAGACATTAAAGGATCTCTGCCAATTGTTCCTTCACCCACCACACCAAAAAATGAAATTGGGTTATACAATATATTTAGTTACTTAGTTTTCATTTTAAGTATGGGCTTTATGAAATTAACTAAGAGAATGTTCCTAGAGTAAACAATATATAGACATTTCTAAATAACAGATTTACATCATCAAGTTATTTAGCCTTTACCCATAGAGACAACCAACAATGTTGTAGCCATTAAGCATATTTAGTAGTTCCTGGGTTTTAAATGATATCTGACCAAGTGACTATTTTTCTCCTGCGACATGTGGCTATCTGCTCTCCTCGGGAATTGGGAATGTTTTCTCTAAAATGATTTTGTCCTTATCCATTTTGAATTCTCTACCTAAAGATATACTTTAGTGTATTTTTGTTTGTAATTCCTCTGTATCTTGTGGCATTTTATCTAACTTAATCCAGGATTTTGTCTGAAAAATACTGCCTGGCTAAAATTAAGCAATCACTGGCTCACTTCAGGAAATGATTAGTGTAATATATGAAGATAAAACACATTTTTTTCGGAAAGGAACAAAATTGATTGGGAGCTGAAAAACATGTCTGTGATTGTTACCTATTATCTGAAGATTTGTGACTATGAATGGTAGCCTACTTGGTTCATGAAAAGTCTGTGTATGGGTAACTGTGACAACAGTAGATCTGAAAGAGACCAGCTTTTGGTTACATCAAAATTGAGCTGACCATGGATGTAATTAGCATTGAAGGGCTGTGGCTGCAGATGGCTGTAGGGATATAAACCTGGCGGAAATAATGACAGGGCTGGAACTCAGCAGTAAGTCTTCATAATTTTTTTTTTTAATTTTCTTTCGTTCTTTTTTTTCATGAAAGCTCTAAACTTGGAAAATTGTGCCACCTGGAGATTTGTCATAAATGTCAACTGAAATATTAATCGAGCCACCAACAGAGAATAACAACTTTTGATTTTCTTGTGTTTTGCAATTGATCTCTCAAATTTTAGGAATATAATCCAAAAAATAGTTTTTATATATTGAGCAATCAACTCTGCCCAAATAAAATGTTACTGTGATTGTTTTTTTTTCTGATTTGTCCTTCAGAACAGAAATCTGTATGTTCTTATCAAAAACACCCAAATACAGCCAAAATGAGATATTTGTAGAGTAAACTGGAAAAAAATAATTACAAAAGCAAATCAGAATTGTAAACCACCCCCATCCCCAAATACAGAAAGAATAATGATACTTCAAGTTACCCATAACCCGAACTCTCAGGGGGTAAATTTTGTTTCTTTGAAGTTATATTTATGGATTTAAAACCTTTTATTTTCATTTCAGACTTTGGAAGTTAAGGAAATCCCCATATTAGAAAGGGATATGCAAACTGCTCAAGCACAGTATTTTTGAAGTTATTATATTTTCAAATAACTTATTGCATTCCAAGAATAGAATTTAATAGTTAACCTCTTGTGAGTTCATGAAATTTAACACCAATAAGA